CTGGCCCTTATCCCAAGTAAAACATTTAATTAAAATATGTCATTCAAATTAGTGCATTCTATCGCAAGGAAGGAAATTATCCTGACAAAACAGTAGAGCTAGAAAAGCTTTTTGGAGTCTTTTCACCTTTCACTGATTCAGATTATTTGAAAAGAAGAAGATGGAAGCTCTTATACCAGAAGTCACCCTACTTAGCAAAAGTTTAATCATCCCCACATGTGACCATATGTATATTGTCCAAATCAATTCTTGCTTTCTATTTTTTTCCCCTTGTTCTTACGGACAACTCTAAACTTCTCAACAAGATTATAATCCTGGATGACAGAGACCATGCCTTATTTATTTTTCTATCTCCTAGCACAGTATTTTTACACCTAATAGGGGCTTTATATATACTCCCCAACACAATAATCAAATAAGAGAGTACAGTTGAGAAATTCCTTATAGTGACACAATTTTAAACACTGAAAAAGAGTAAATCTTGCTGCTTTGGGTTTGCAACACTGCAATATGTCAAATCTTCCTCTAGAAGAAGTAGAATGTCATGATGATATTTTGGATGAGTAACCATCAAGGTGGTTTTCATATGCTAATTGGCTCAATCCTTGTAGCTATGTAGTGAAGTGGATAGAGTGCTGGACCTGGAGTCAGGAAGACTCATCTTTCTGAGTTCAGATCTGGCCTAGCTATGTGACTCTGGGCAAGTCATTTAACCCTGTTTGCCTTATTTCTTCAACTGTAAAATGAGCCGGAGAAGGAAACGGCAAACCTCTCTACTATCTTTACCAAGAAAACCCCCACTGGGGTTACAAAGAATCAGACACAACTGAAAACAACTCAACAACAAAAACAGTCCTCACAGTAACTTGAAGGGGAAGAACTATCTCTTTCTTTGTCAAAGATACTACCAAAGCAATGGATCACTTCTCCTTCCACTACAAAAACAAAAATAAAAAACAATATTGGGAAAATTTCCCGATAGTCATTACAACTACAATTTAAAATGCCATTTGGAGAGGGTTTTTAATGTAGACTACACAATACATTTACAATTCCACTTCAACAATGTTTATTTAAGCACCTACTGTGATCAGGTTATTATACAAGTTTCTATCAGTGCCAAGATGAAAAACAGCACAGTCCCTGCTGTCTAGGAGCATACAGTCTGCTACAAGGATACAATGTGAACACAAATATAGCACGATGAAAGGTAGAATGAGCCTGGAAGGGACATCCAGTCCGGCTGTGTCCTTTTACAAGTGAAGAAAGTTAAGGACCAGGGGGCCTTACTGATTTCTCAAGGTGATGATTTGACCTTAAGAGCTTCAACTATTTAGTTACATGTGAGACAATCAAAGATGTCTTCCTTGAAGGGGTAGTACTGTTCTTGGTCTTGAGTGTTTTCTGCAAGCAGAAACAGCCAGAGGCTGTTACAACAATCCAGGTCAAAAGTAATGAGACTGAGCTAGGATAATGAGAGCATGAATGTAGAGGATAGAGCCTGTGTTAAGGTAAATATAGCTAAATATGCACTGGCAATGGGGGTTGGGGAGTAACCCTGTGATTTCATCAGTGTAGGGAATTCCTGGTGTGAGAATTCCATCTACCAGCAGAAATTAGTGACCTGCTTATAATCTCTCATCTTAGAGAGTTATACAGGGTATACATAGTGATTTGCCCATGTTCACAGCCAGCATGTGTTAAATATTAAAGCTGGATTTGAACCTAGATCTCCCTGACTCAAAGATCAGCCCATGCTTATTACCAATAAAACCTTTAGAGAATCACATCACTTCCCTAGATCTCAGCTTCCTCGTATAGGAAATTAGGGACTTGGACCAGATTCTTGGATTCCCTGGCATCTACTATACCATGCTGCCTCTCAGGATACCTATATATTCATTTAAAATAAATTTTGCTTCTTTCTCATCTTACCAGCCATTAAATTATGAGGCAGCTAAGTGGCATAATAAATAGAGCACAAGGGGCTGGAGACAGAAAGACCTGAGTTCAAATCCAGCCTCAGACACTTATTAGCCGTGTAACCCTGGGCAAGTCACTTCACCTCTTCCTGCTTCAATTTCTTCAACTGAAATATGGGGGGGGAGGGTCGTAATAGAACCTGTGTCACATAGGTTTTTTGTTTTGTTAGGCAATGGGATTAAGTGACTTGACCAGGGTCACACAACTAGTAAGTGTCAAGTGTCTGAGGCCAGATTTGAACTCAGGTTCTCCTCACTCCAGGACCGGTGCTCCATCCACTGTGTCACCTAGCTGCCCCTACACTGTTGTTCTAAGGATCGAGTGAAATATTTTTGAAGTGCTTAGGACAGTGCCTAGCATATAGTAGGCACTTTCCTTATGACCATTTCCAACTTAACCCAGGTAAAACAGATGCTGAAGCTAAGATCCCACACAGCCCTCTAATGTATTTCAACAAATATTTATTGAACACCTGCTATGTGCCCAATAGTATGTTAGACATTGTGGGGTACACAAGGGAGGTCTGTGGCATCTAATTTCTAATTGATGAGCAACTGTAACATTTTGGTCAAGTCATTTTAAAAAACTGAAATCACGAGGACTGTTTATTTTGGTTTTGATCATCATGATGACTCAATAATCCCATTAACATCTTGGCAAACCACCTAAAATAGTTGAATTACCATTCAACTGAAATCACCCTCTCCAAAGTCACCAATGACTTCTTAATTGCCAAATCTACTTACCGTTTTTTTAAAACCCTCATCTTTCTTCACTTCTCTGAAGCCTTTGACACTGTTGATCACCATCTCCATCTGAACACATACACCCTCCTCTATAGTCTTCTATGACACCTTTCTCTGCTGGTTCTCCTCCTCCTTGGGTGACCACTCTTTCTCATTCTCCTTCATTGAAGTTTCATCCATGTCATGCCTCCAATCACGAGTGTCCCTAAGGCTCTGTTGTGGGGTCTCTTTTCTTCTTCCACTATTTTTTCATTTGTTGATCTCAGCATTCCCATAGATTCATTTATTATCTTCATGCAATTGATTCTCAGATCTGTATATTCAGTCCTAATCTCTCTCCTGTATTCCATCTCAAGTTCAACATGTCCAAAACAGAAATCATTAACTTTCCCTCTTCAAACCCCTCCTCTCTTCCCAGCTTTCCTGTTACTCTCCAAGGTACCTCCATCCTCCCCATCACCCAGACTCACAACCTTGGTGTCATTGTTTACTCCTAACTCTCACTCATCCCACGTCCAATCTGTTGTCAAAATTTGCTCTTTCTATCATTGCAACATCTTTCACATAAATGTCATTTTTTCTCTTCTTACGCAGACACCACCCCAGTACAGGCTCTGATCAGCTTTGACCTGGCCTACATTCCAGGACCTTTCTAACGGGTCACCCTGCATCAAGTGTCTTCCCAATCCAATTCATCCTTTGTTTAATTGCCAAAATTATTTTCCTAAATTCCAGTTCTCTATGTAGATGATACATAGAGAGCTACTGCAGTAGCTCCTTATTACAATCAAGGTAAGAGATAAACTCATTTTTGCCATTTAAAGCTCTTCACAACCTGGGTCTTTTTACCTTTCAATATTTCTTATACCATACTCTCTTCCATGCACATTATAATCCAGCTTTACTGGCTTATGACTTCTTCACATACAGCATTCTGTCTCCCAAACTTGTACATTGACACTTCATTTCCACTTGTCTGAAATACTTTCTTCTCACCTATGCTTTTTAGTTTCATTCAAGACTATTCCTACTTTTGCAGGAGGACTTTCCCAGTCCTCCTTGCTGCTGGGGTTTTCACTCTGAGAGTGTTCTCCATCGATTATCTATTGGTTTCATACTAAGTAGACTTATATGTTGTCTCTCCCAAATATGAGCTTTTTGAGGTCAAGGTCAATGTCACAATACCTCTTCTCCCCATTATTAGCAGACTGTTTGACACATTTAATTTCTTATGAAGGGCTTGTTGACTGACTAGTCAGAATATCCAAGTTGAACTTGTGTTATTTTTTTTTAAATAGCTATTCTTATATTATCTCATCTCTGTATATTAGGTGTAGGGTGGGAATTTATATCCTCATTTTATAATAAGGAAAACTGGAATGTAGAACAGCTATATGATTTGCCCAGGATTGTACTAGCAATACGATACAGAAAGGGCACTAGATTTAAAATTAAAAGATCTGGGTTCAAATTCATGCTCTGTTGCTTACCATCTATTGTAACCCTAGGAAAGTTTCTTTGTGTGATAATAATAATAATAATAATAATAATAACTAACTTTTGCATAGTGCTTACTATGTGCCAGGAATTGCGCTAAGTGCTTTACAATTATAGCATTTGGTCCTCACGACAACCCTGAGAGGTAGATGCTATTATTATCCCCAGTTTTACAGATTAGGAAACTGAGGCACAGAAGTTAAGTGACTTGTCCAGGATTATACTGCTAATAAGTATCTAAGGCCAGACAAACTCTGGTCTTCTTGACTCCAGGCCCAACACTCTATCCACTGAGCCAACTAGCTGCCCCATCATCCCTCAGGGCCTCAATTTTCTCATCTATAAAATAAGGGTGCTTTAGCAGCTGATCTCAGAGGTTGAAATTCTGAAATTTTCATGTTTTAAGTACTATCTCTTGGATTATGACTTTTTTTTCTTTTTTTACCATGAGTCTATTGCTTTATTACAGGACCACAATCCCTTTCTCTTAATAGTCATCCATAGCTATTCCATAGAAAAACATGTTATTCCTTAACTGACACTGAGGCTAAGCCCACTGGTCTCTTTAATGTGGAAATTCTGGTGCCAGCTAAACAGCCAGATTTAAAAATGTTTCCTTAGTAGTTTATCTCTTCAGATGTTGTGCCCTTCCCAGAGCTTGGTAACTGCAGTTTATATTTTTGTTTGTTTGTTTGTTTGTTTTCTCTTTGTTTCTTTTGGTGTCCTGGGTTTGCGTTCTTTTTTTTCCCCTCTTCTTTTCCTTTTTTAATACAGGAATCGGCCAAGGAGTTCCTGTCGTGGCCCTCATTGTGGAAGGAGGACCAAATGTAATCTCCATTGTTTTGGAGTACCTTCGAGACACTCCTCCTGTTCCTGTTGTTGTCTGTGATGGGAGTGGACGGGCATCTGACATCCTGGCATTTGGGCATAAATATTCAGAAGAAGGCGGGTAGGTAATTTGTTAAGACACATGTCAGAATGCATAGTTCTTTCCATGCACAAAGTACTTTTGAAATCTAAGACCTAGTATGGTTTGTTAAATTTCTCTTGGCTATCTCAGTCTATCCTCAACTAATTATGATAAAAAAAAAACTGGAAGTCACATAAATGCCATCATATTTATTAGGAATATATCCAACATGTCCACTGAAAAAGAAAACATGCAAACTATGTTTTATTGCACTGAATATAGACAGGGAGACTGAAGGGGGATTATAAACAAATATAACCTCCTTTTCTTCATTTTTTTCTTTCCTTCCTTTTTTTTCCTATAATGGGAAGTTAGATAGAGCTAGGACCAGAGGTAGGCAGGGTTAGCTAGCCCCTCAAGGTTACAACATGCAGAGAAGGACTGAACAAAGGTCACTTGTTAATATTACTTCTTATAAATATACAGGGTGTCCTAAAAGTCTTTAAACCATGACTTTTGAGACACTTTTTACTTCTTGTTATGCCAGAGGACTCCATTTTCCATGGCATAAATAACTTTATTTTGTGATAAATCAGGTTGCATGTGTTAAAGCGAAATCTCAAAGGCCTTGGGGTTGCCATTTTTCAAACCTCAACAAGGATGAAGAGCTCCCAGCTCTGTGGACAGGTATTAAATAGTAAGACATGTAGCTGAATGAATGCCTGCCATCTCTCTCTTTTCGCTAGTCTCAGATACCCAGCGCTCCTTCATTCTCCTCTTGATGTCCAAAAACTCCTTCCCCCACCCCACCCTCAGTTCCAACTCATCCCTAGAGTCAGGGTAGTAAGATGGAAAGAACACTACCCTTGGAATCATAGGATCTAGATTCAAGTCTGGCCCTTGAAACACCCTGTGTGACATTTGCTTATCAACAAAATGAGAGGGTTACACTAGATATCCTCTTCCAGGATAATGCACCTTCCAGTTCTAAGTCTGTGATCCTACAATCATATCTGAGTCTGGAACCTGTGCCCAAAAAGTGATTTTGTTCCTTCCAGAACACTATGCTTGGAGTCCCAACTCTGTCACTGTAACTGATTTGACCCGGGACAAATCACCTAACTTTCCTGAGCCTCAATTTCCTCTTTTTGTAAAATGGGAATGATAATAATACTTACACTACCTAACTCAGTAGGTTAGTGTATGGAAAGAGCTTGGTAAGCGGTAAGGTGCTTGGTCAACCCTATCAAAGATTATGAGCTAATATAATTATTCTGGGAGCACTGTTATTGTTCAGTCATTTCGGTCACATCTGACTCTTGGTGCCCCCATTTGGGGTTTTCTTGGCAAAGATACTGGAATGGCTTGCCATTTCCTTCTCCAGCTTATTTTACATATGAGGAAACTGAGGCAAACGGAGTTAAGTGACTTGTCCAGGGTCATACAACTAGTAAGTGTCTGAGACCCCACTTGAACTCAGGTCTCTCTGATGCTAGGGCTAGCACCCTATCTACTGTGCCACCTCTCTGCCTAAGAGTACTGAGCAGAAATTAATTATTTATTAGATTAAAGCAATTCACAGTAGGGTGTGAATGATTCTTAACCCTCCCAGATGCATTTTTATTTTAAAAGAACGACTAGCTGGTGAAAATTAAGGTCTGATTGGTGGGATGTGTAAGGGAGATACTGCTTTTAGCAAGAGTGCCTTACCAGTTCAAACTGATTCTCTCTGTCCCCCCATTCTAGTACCCAACTACCAGTAACCTTACCACCTTATTCTACTATTAACCAAATTGACTTTATAGAATCAGAACTGTACCAATAAGTCGCTCATCCATGGAAGAGGTGCTAGACTTGTTCTGAGTAACCCCACAGAACAGAACTAAGAGTGAGGGGGATAGCAAAGAGACGGATTTAGGCTTTCAATATGAAACAAATGATCAATCAGTAGAGTTTTCCAAAAGTTAAAATGTGATATGCTGAAAAGTAGTGGATTCCCTCTTACTGAAGGTCTTTAGTCAAAGGCTGACCATTCAGTTATAATTATAAATTCTTGTTTGGTCAAAGGTTGAATTATATGGCCCCTAGGAACCTTTTTACTCTGAGATTTCGGGCAGGTACTCTGCTAAGTGCTGGGAATTGTTGTTATTCAGTCATGTCCAACTGAATGGGGTTTGTGACTCCATTTGAGGTTTTCTTGGCAAGGATACTAAAGTGTTTTGCTATTTCCTTTTCCATCTCCTTCTCCTTCATTTGTCAAATGAGGACATTGAGGCTGACAGGGTTAAATGACTTTCCCAGGGTCAGACTAGGGTCTCCTAGTAAGTGCCAGAGGCCAGATTTGAACTCTCTTGACTTCAGCCCTGGCACTCTATCCACTGTGCCACCTACTTGACCCTAAGTGCCTGAGATACAAAGGGCAAAATAAAACTTTCGCTGCCCTCCAGGAGCTTATGTTCTCTAAAGGGGATCCCCAGCCCACTTCTTCACCTTTTCAAGCAAAACAAAGTCATTAATGAGAAAATAAATTGGCACTAGAAATTTTACAACTAGAAGTAACAAAATCAACCAGTGCAAATGACCTATCATATAATTCTTCTAAAAATAATAAATAGAGTTGTAATTATTAAGGGTCATGGATATCCTGCAGAATTTCCACAGTGAGGAGAAGGGAATGAGGCTTCCTTGGGATTGTATTGCAGTTTACTTGCAAAACACTTTAAATTCATCTTATCCTCTTCCTTGACAAAGTAATTTACATCTAAGAAGCTTGTCCTGTCAATCAGATAGCATTTATTAAGTGTCTGCTATGTGCCAGGCACTGTGCTAACGGCTAGGAATAAAAAGAAAGGAAAAAAAAACAACCAGTCCTGCCAAGCTCACAATCTGATGGGAAAGGTAGCATTAAAACTGCATACAAATAAGAATCAGACAAAATACATCAGCAGTAGTCTCAGAGGAGGACTGGGAAAGGTATCTTACAGAAGAAAGGTCTTTAGCTGAGACTTGAAGGAAGCCCTGAAGCATTCCATCAATACTAACCAAACAGAGACCTTTATTTGATCTAAGGTCTTCAAACATATTTGTCTTTGTGGGATCCTATTTATCTCTGGTCTCCCTTGTTTAAAAGGCAGTAATGTCATCTGATTTCTGTAAGGCAATAAAGAGATCATATGGAATGTGCCATAGATATCCCTTGGGCCATTTTTTTTTTTGCTATTTAAAATATTTTTACTATTGAAATGAACACTTAAGTTGTCTTTCAGAAAGTTCAGTTCCTTCTTGGACGTTAGTAGAATTGTCATGGGGTATTCCCAAATATCAAAGAATTAGATAAAATTTAAAAACTTGGTGCAGGTTATTCTGCTCTGTATGGTAATTTATTGCTTCTACTTTATTAGGTTTTGTATATTTTGAACTAAAAAGTCTCTAGTAATTGAATTCTCCCAAGTTTCCTCTGTAGCATAGTACATGGAATCTTTCAGCTGAAAGGGGCCTTGGAGGTCAACTGTTCCCTATGTAACAGCTAGATAAAAAGAAGCATAACAAAGAACTGTTCTATCTTGAGGAAACTTGTACAAAAATATGAAATATTGGGGCCCCTAGGTGGCATAGTGGATAGAGCACCAGCCCTGGAGTCAGGAGGACCTGAGTTCAAATCCAATCTCAGACCAGACTCTTGACACTTAGTAGCTGTGTGACCCTGGGCAAGTGACTTAATCCCAATTGCCTCAAACAAAAAAAAAGTGAAAAATATGAAATATTGGGAAACTGCTTCTCCCCTTGGACCCCAAAAGCCACTGATTCAGGGAAGTTCCTTTTTTATTCTTGGCTGACTCCTTTCATAAAGAAATAACTTGAGATTGATCTGGGGTTCTGTTGTGAATGCTCATCCCTCTCTCGCCTTGGGTTTCTTGCTTTTACAAAGCTAATTACAAATGGATTATAACAAAATGAAGTAAGAATTGTGTGATGTGGGCCATCTGGAGACCTGCCAGATTTGATCCAATGCATCCAATGCAAACAGCCTCACAAATTCAACAAATTTAAAAAGTTATTCCAATAAGAGATTATTTTGCAGTACAGTCAGGTTTTCCCTACTGAAAAAAGTTGTCAGATCCAGAATTTGTTTGCTGGGGAGAAATTCTCCTTGGATTTGCCACAAAGTTCTTTCACATTTACGAAGCAGATAATTAAGGAACACTTCAGAAATATCACCATCATCATTAACATGTATACATTTACATATATACATATAATTAAAGAGCAGAATAAAGTTATGTCTCTATATTCATCACCAAACAAAAAGACCAAGTCCATATTTTTTTAAAAATCAGGAAGTAGCTTTAATATTTTATAAAAACAACAGTAATTGTTTATTTAATTGTATTTTTCCCTTTTCACCCAATAGTTTAGATTTTATAAGTGGCCTATGACCGATCAACTCTGATAGAAATGGCGATACCTTGCTTGTCAAATGGGGTTTTTTCTAAATATAAAGAAAATCTGTGATGTATATTAGCAGTATTTTGACATGTGGAAGTAGATAAGGCAGACTGAAAGGGTTCTTCTATCTATGTTTGTTAATATATTTTAATTAGTTTTTTTTAATTAAGAGAAATCTATTTTCTCTCCCTCCCACTCTCTAGGAAAAAACAATCCCTGTAACAAATACATATGGTCAAGCAAAATAAATTCCCTCATTGGCCATATTAGATGTATAGCTATTGGTAATATAAATACAGATATAGAGATAGAGATACCATTGTGCACTATAAATCCATTACCTCTCTATCAGGAAGTGGCTAGCATACTTCATCATAGGTCCTCTGGAATCCTGAATTTGGAATCATCTCATTGATCAGAATTCTGACAGCTTTCAGAGTTGTTTGTTTTCACAGGGTTGTTGTTACTTTATAAATTGTTCTCCTGGTTTTGCTCATTTCATTCTTCTTCAATTTATACAAGTCTATTAAACTGTTCATTTTTAAGAATATTGATGTAACAGGTTAAATTGTTTTTCTGCCTCTGCTCACTTC